ATTTGCTCCAAAATATTCAAAATAATCTATGAATACACTACTATGACCTCCTTTATTCTATCTCCAGGAAGCTGCAATTGTCCAGCTAAATCATCAATAACAGATTTATTTTGGTGCTCATGCAGTATGTCCCTGAAAAAAGATTGTATAGTTGCATAGCAAAAAAATCTTGGAAGAAATAGTGCAACATATGACAAATATGGTTGGAACAGCTACCAAGTATGTATGCTACCATAAAAGCTCTTGCAATTGTTTTAGCTTTAACACAGGGTTTAAAACAACAACTTCTGAGTAAGGTTCCCCTTAACTTATTCTCTTTTCACATAGAAGACATGAAAGTCTATATATGCTCATGATTTTTTGTTCTTTTTTGGCTGAAAGTTTTATTAGTTTGAATCAGTTTATCCTCAGTTATGATTAACTTGTTCCCCTACAGATGCAATCCTAGACATACTTCACAAAAGAGGAGGAGGAAGGGGAAGAGGAGGAAGTCATTCATAATTTTCCCCATATGGTTGGGCTCCAAACAGGTTTAGGAGTGGGATGCAGGTAGGTTTTTAGAGTTTTGAGATACTATAAAGAAGCTATAAAAAAGTCACCTATTAACTTTGTTTTTGTACTTGTGGCACAATACTGACAGAGATTACTTGAGATGAGGATCATGCAAGAAAGGCTAGACAAATGAAATTAAGGATATGACACTATTAGCTTTAAGTACCAATATAATAAATTATTTTGCTATAAGAAAAACATAACCCATGTCATGGATACCCCCCACCACACACACACACACACACAGAGAGGCAGTACAATTAATATATTGATAAAGCTTGATTTATTCATTGAAGATAAGTATCCTCAAGTAATGGTTAATTATAATCCACTAAATTTTATTCTGTTGAAATACTTTTCATTACTGAACAGCCATTAGCCTCATGTTCTGTTATGTTAAGAGCGGAAATCTTCAAAATAAGATCACTGTGACCTTTTTCCACTTTCCTGAATCTTCTCCTTCCCTGCTGTGACTGTGGATTGAAAGGATTCCTTTGCCTGCTGTGCAATTTAGAGATAACTTCAGCTGATAGGTCATCTCATCCTGTCTTTTATCCAGCAGCCTATCTTGTCTTGTCAGGGTTGATGGGCTTAAATGGGGCCTAATTTCAGCCCCAGTATCATAGCAATACACACAAGATTTCATGAAAGCTTTTCCGCAAAAAGATGGAAACACATTGAAACACACCATGCATCATTTAATGGCAACCCTTCCCCAACCTACCAACCTTCAGATGTGTCAGACTACAATTCCCATTGTCCCCAATTGCTGTGGCATTGTTGTTCAATACTTCTGGAAGGTCCCACATTAGGGAAGGCTATACAAGCTTGAGCCATCATTTCAAGCACAGGCTTGCCTTCTTAAATAAGAAGTCGTGTTTTTCAGCAGTTGCTACCCCTATCAAAATTGTTGATGCTGTCACTAATCTAAAACCAATCATAAGTCAGAAACTTCTGTTTGCTTTTATTTATTTGACCTGCTTCCCTTAGTTTTCTACATTATCTGCCAAATCCTACACCCATGAAGACTACTACCAATTCTGCAATCATAAAAATTGCAGATTCATTCTCTGTTCAAAACTCACATCAGAATCTGGAACAATGAATGCTAATTTGTTGCAAGATTTCAGGTTTGATCTTCTCAGTTATTTTCACTAAATAACAATCAAAGGGTAGTAGTGGTGGTGATGAGTAAAATTTGTTCAGATCAGGCTGTATGTTAGCATGTTGATCCTACAAAATGAAAAAATGAGGAAAAGGCAACATGTCTTCTATGAATTTCAATAACTAGAAACAACTGAACAGCCTTCATTGCATATTCAGACTTTTTTTCCCTTTTCAAATATAAAAAGACCCCCAACTTTTTATATCGGACCCAGAAACCAATAAAAACTATGTATTCCTGAAACTGGTGATCTTAGCCATCCCTTCAAGATACTGTTGCCTCCATGATGTTATTATCAAATTTATGACTAATGTCAAATTTCAAACTTCTGAGAAAAAATTGCAGTGCCGCTTAGCACTAATCCTTAATTGTAGTTCCTTTAAGCCTTATTCCACCTTCCCCACCAGGCTCCCTTCACATGTGTTGAACTACAAGTTCCATCATCCCTATCAAAATATCCAATGTGTACCTGGAGATTGGAGTTACACTCCAGAACATCTGGAGCAGACCAGTTTGGGGGAAGGTCACCTTAACTAGTGAAACCGAAAATTAAACATTTTACTGTTTCTTTAAATTTTCTTATGAAAGATTCCCTATTAAATGGTGCATTCCTCTGGCATGACAGAATATACTATTTTGAGATATAATGTATTATTATCTCAATTCGTATTACAGTGCCTGTCAAAAAGCAGGAGAACAAACATCAAGAGGTAATCCATTAGCTGACAGAATAAAATGTAGCAGGGGGAATGGTACCATCTTAACGCTTATCCAATATATGGTAGCACAGCTTTTCTGGCCCAGAACAGACTTTGACATATACACATACAGAAGGCTCTTTAGAGCTTATACAATATGAAATCTGTTAGTATTTAAGTTGCCACTCAGATCTCAGCCACTCAATAATATACCTAGAAAATTAATTTAAAATGCATATTAAATTAAGATTTAATCATACATCCGCTGCGTATTTTCACAATGAATGAAGAAAGGGGATATCTAAGAAACAAATTTTCAGCTGCAATATTTCAAACATTCTTTGGGTATTTTTTTCATCCCCATGTGAACTCAAAGAGCAAATATAACATTGGGATTAGTAAGGTTATCCTTGTTAAACAGTCAGTGCCTTCATATTCAACTGAAAATAAAACAGGCTCCTAACTACTGTATAGTTTTGACTTTACCACCAACAGATCTTTGCAAAAATAATACAGCATGTTAAAGCATTATAAGCGAACATTGCACCATCTTGTCAGGCTGGGTTTTAGAAACAGTTTGAGTTCTAAGCTTACAGAAAACAACGAACTGTGATTGGGCAGAGTCATTTGCAAAGAATAAAATGTTAGAATCACAAACAAGTTACTTTTTTTGCCAAGTTAGACTGTTTTCCTAGCCTAGGTCATGTTCAACACTTCATGAGCAGGAATAAAATGTAGGCATTTATTTAGAGAATGTTAAAAAAATCAAAAATATCAGTGTATGGAAGTAACCAATTTTGTACACTTAGGTGAACCCGATGTGACTTGTTTTGAAACAAAATGCAACAGGAAGGCATCAAGAAACCAGGCAAGGGAAGGGGTTTCCAAACATCCACTATTCCTCTTCTTCTCACTGGTGGGTGGGGTACATGCCAGGCCAGAATAGCATCTAACCGAAAATAAACCAGCCAGGGCCTGCTTACGCACTTTCAATAGCTGCTTGATACACAAAATAAACAAAACAATCTTTTTCACAACTTGGAGACAGTGATGGTCCCTAAACGGTGGAATTCCACTTTTTCTAGTGTGAGGGGAGCAAAGACCTTATTTCTGGGGCTATGCCTTTTGTTCTTTGTTTCTCCTGATAATTTTGGCTCCTGAATTCTCTGCATCCTTTCACCGTTTGTCCCCTGCCTCATTTCCATCAGGTGGTGAATCTAGCTTTGGATTATATTATTTCACTCTACATTATTTTCAGTTCTTGCTTAATCAGAGAACCAGCGTGAGATGAGCAGGTAAAAATAAGTCTAAAACCATAAAGATCCAGGACTCCGCAGCACTGCTCCCTCGGGGACTTCGGGTCACTCCCTTTCACTCAGACTAGCTTAGCGCACAAGACAAAACGATAGGGGAGAATCTAGCCTGCCAGCATAAGCCTCCACTGGGTGAAGGCTGGGATTCAAAAGGAATGAATAAATAAAGAAGTCATCACTGGTATGAACCGCCACGAGACCGGCTGGAAAGCAGCACCCATATACTGCAAAGAAGCAGACGACACCAGCAGCGCGCCCTGCCTCCATCTGTCCAGCCAGGCGCCATGAGAGGCGCAGCTACAGAAGGCGCTGGGAAAGTTGGCCACCCTCGACTCCGCCCTAGCAGAAGCCGGGCCGCCTCGCTCGCGCCCTTCCCCGCAGCTGCTGACCGGGTGGGGAAGGCTCGCCGCCTCGCTTCCCACGAGCCTCCTGCCCGCCAGCGCCTGGGCGCCCGCAGCTGCGCTGACCCCGGCGCCTGACCCCGACCGCTGCGCGCGACCTCCACCGCGAGGGGCCCGGGGCGTGGGAAAGGGCCCCCGAGAGCGCGGGACGCGCCGGTGCGGCTGCGAGGAAAGCGGAGGCGCGGCGCGCAGGTCGCCTTAGCGCGCTGCAGCTGCCGCTTCAGCGCGGGAGCCTCCGGACAGCCGCAAGCCCGGCGCGGGGAGGGGGGGCAAGGTGACGGAGCAGCCTTCGGACAGCGGAGCGGGGACCCAGCGGCGTGGCAGGCGCCACGGCCAGTGCCCGCAGCCGGGCTCGGGAGCTCGCGCGGAGAAAGCTTTCGCGGCAGTCTAAGGGGGGCTCCAACCTCCCAAGCCAGGCGAGGGAACACGCACCCCGAGCAACGTGGAGGCGCTGGCAAGCGGGTCCTCGCCTCCCGGCGCGCCTCACCTGCCCCGTGCCCGCAGAAGGGCCTCCGCGCTCCGGAGAAGGCGAGCCCCCGCGCCACAGAGCGAGGAGGGGGCGTGAAACCTGCCGGGCGGAGGAGAGGAAGGGCCGCGGTAACCAATCAGGCTGCGCTGGGGAGAAGAAGCGAGGCGGGCCGCGCCACTTTGGCGGGGCGGGGGAAGACCGCAGCCTCCTGCGGGAGGCGGACGAGGCGCGCCCCTCCTCCCCGAGCGCTGTCCAGGGTCCCCACTTGCCCCCGCGCACGCTCCGCGGCCAGCCTCGCGCCCTTCGCCTCCGGGCTGCCCCGCGAGCGCGCGCACCTGCAGGCCAGCCAGAGGGACGAGGTCGCCCCTGCGCGCCTCGCCCGGGGCTCCCGCCTCCACTCACCGGAACACGGCGCGGGGCGCCCGGCAGCTGCCGTCGCGGAGGTGAGGAACCCGCCCTCTTCCGTCCTCGCTCGCCTCTGCCCAGCTAACTCATGCTCGAAACGTGCGCTTGACAGCTGCCTTCAGCCGCTTCTTCTGGCCCCTCCCAGGCTCTCGCGCCGACCGAGGAGGCGCCTACTTCGGCGGCCAATCGGAAGGCGTGTGGAGCGGAGCGGCAGGGAGCGCGGAGCCGGGCGCCCCGGCGAGGAAAGGCTGGCCGGCTGGCGGGGGCTTCGTCGCGCTGAGCCGGGCAGCCAGCCGGAGACGCCCAGGCGATGCTTGCGGGTGGGCGGGGAAAGCCTCGAGGGGCTCGCGCCAGGGGCTGCGTGCTCCAGGGTGCCCACAAGGGCAACCCAGAGGTGGGCTCCTGGCTACCCCGGGAGTGCCCGTGCCCCCAGCCCGGGATGAATTCAAGGGGGGATTTCAGCAGCTCTCGGCAGGGCGTCATGTGCTGCCCCAAGGAGATTCACTTCCTCGGCCGCCCCTGCAACGTGCGTGTGGGGCTAGGGAAAGTCGTACGCTTCGGCCCCAACGCGAAAACATCCCTGATGGGAAGGATACGGAGATCTGCCCTCGACAGAGGCAACTGGAGATTATGTGAAGAACCTCTTTTCAAAACTCCCTTTCCTCAACGGGCGTCTAATTTCCAAAGATGTTGTTCAATACTTATGATGAACAAATCCCAACCCTACAGATTTTCTTGACATGATTTTCTTACTAGGTAAAAGAACAGATGCTACGTAAAAGTTCCTGATCATTTCCTGGTCATTTCTAACCAGATTCATTAAAATGATGTTGGGATCTATCCACAATATACATTAAACCACCTCTTTATCTTTCTTTAGGATGTTGCTTGTTCAGTGTTACTAACAAGAACAGCATTTTTCCTCCTACAGTTACTCTAGTTTTATAACAATACCACTATATTAAGCTTCTATTTTGCAACCATAAATCTCATGCTTCTCGTTGCAATTGAAAACACTTCCTCTTGTCTCCCAAATCCAAACTTCAAGAAAGAATGGACCTCCCACAATATATTTCATCCCCCATCTAGCTAGTCTTGCCCTGTTCCATGATGGAATGCTAGCCTTTGTTATGAAATAAGTTCAGTGACCCAAGTTTTGCCTATTAGATGCAAAGTGTCCCATTCAACATTTTCCTGGCAACGTGTCTTGGGAAATGCATGCTAGCCAAATTTCAGGTTTCTCAACAGACTGGGAGTGTTTTAAATGTTTGAGGATGCAATTTAGCCCACTTTTTTTGGGAAAAGTGCCACTTCCAGATTTTTTTTTTTTTCCTAGTTATCAGGACTCCTTGGATAGGACTTTAGTTCAGTTAGATTGTTAGGTTAGATTCGATAGTTCACTTAGATTTCCTGAAGAGCTAAAAGAACGCAAACCAAATTCAGTAGTTTCTTTCTACACAATGCTTGACTTTCACCCAGATTTAGTTTACTAATGAACCCATGCACTTTCCATTTCTTAGCATAATGGTTAATGAACTCTGACAGCAGTTTCTTTGCAGCACAGACATCTTCAGTATTTAAGGGAAAAGTTGTTAAGAAGTTCTGTAATAAAATCCTGTCAACTTGACCTTACCTAGTTGATCATACTTACCTTATTAGCACAAAGAGCACCCTAATGATTGCTGTTACCTGTCTGAAGCCAACCTGTGTTTTAACACACATTGCATGACACACTAAGCCCCAGTAGCCCACAAGAAAGAGACTCCCCCCATCTGCCATGCTGATGATCCACAGGGCAGGAGAAGTGGTGGAGTGTTCAGAAGAAGAGCATGGGCTCAGGAAGAGCTCAGGAGAGCATGCCCACCAGCAATCCAGCCTGGTGGGAAGGATAAAGGAGGGAGGGTCTCCCTAACCCTCTTCAACAGGTGCTCCCTCCTAAGCTGCTTGACCTTGTCTGGCACAGCGCAACTGAGTTGGCCGAGTTGTTTCTCAACACAAAGACATGAAGTTCATGTCTTCTGCGCAATGAACAAAAAAGTGGGCAGGCAGCCAGGCCTGATGGCATCATGGGGTTGGGGTTGTAGATTCTGGCCATTGCCTTAACATCTTCCAGTTCACCAACTTGCTCCAGGGGAAGAAATCTGGCCCTCAGTTCAAATTAGGTTGCCTAGTCCTGTTGCAAGCTACTATAAGCCACAAAAAAGAACATTTTACAGAACTGCCTTTAAGGAGATTTGGTTGAAAATTTCCCCCTTGCATGTAGGTTAGATATAACAAGAGAGGAAAGCTAGTTTAATAAAATAATTTCCCAATGCATTTGCTTTCATTTGGGGATTTCCTCTAAGGCTCAGTTTCAAGCATGCTTATTTGAAAACCTCTCCTTGAAATAAATTGACTTATTTCCAAGTAATGTATTTTGAAGCATCAGTGGTATGAAAGTAGTCCTGTGGTGCTGCCACTACTAAAATGACTTATAGAGAGTACAGAAATACAAAATGCAAACAGAATGGTAATGATATATTCAGAGGGCCATAGAGGAATCTGCAAATAACCACAAACGTGAAAGCAAAAAATAGGAAGAGATCATGTATTTGCCTGGTTTTAACTGGACAAATTAAATTTAATTGGGGATTGGACGAATTCTTGCAGGAGAAGGTGGTCAATGGCTACTAGTCCTCATGGTATCGGAAGCAGCATGGCACACAATGTTGCTGTGTACGTCGTCAGACAAGATGGTGCTGTGGAACTCATGTCCTGTCTGTGGGATCCTGTGCTGGCTGGCCATTGTGTGAACAGAATGCCGGGCTAGACAGAAGCTTGGTCTGAGCCAACATGCTTCTTTTATGCTTTAAGAAAAGTATGTTAAATATCCTAAACTGAAATATCCTAAGCTTTATTTCTGGCTGTTCTTTGAAAAATGTTTTCCTTTGGAATGGTAACTGGGTTCAGACATACAGCCCTATTCCTTTGGCTCTAGAATGCTGGAACAGGGCATTGTTTTTATTTATGCCTGAGGTGTTATTTTGTTATGAATTTTACCAAGTTCATTTGCATGTTTTACTTTGTAACTTGATAATGTATTGGTCTGAGTCCTATATGAATGAAAAATGTACAATATTTGGGAACCTGATAATGGAATGTCTCATTTTCTACAAACATCTGGATCTACTTTTCATTTTATGGGAAAATCCTCTGTGAGCACACTGGATTCCAAAAACATTTGATGTATTAAAAAAAAACCCCACACAATGGAACACAGATGAAATCTTTCTCATTCAGAAGGCTGAATCATTAATTGGACTAACATTTTACTGACTGTAGTTATGCAATTACTCTGATTTATACAGATGAAAATTCTTAAGAACTTAAGTGGTAATAAATGCCAAAAACATTTTCACATCATTATAAAAATTGCATACCATATTACTTAGATTTGCTTTTATACTAGATTTTCTTTTAAACTTATATCCATTTACTTGCATGTGACCCCTTCTTCAGTGCTGTTATTTACCACATGAATAGTACTCTACTTTATAGAATAGTTTACCTCATTTACCATTACCTTCTAAAGGCACTTAGGCTAGAAGGTTAATCTGCACAAAAATTCTCTACTCAACTTCATGGTTAAGCATTAATTTGAGCCCATCCTGTGCAAACCCTGAATTGTTACCTGACATTTGCAGAGTGCTGGTAAAAGTAAGCTTAATCCAAATAATATGCAGTCATTGTTAGCTGAGAGAGTGAGCCAGGAATGAGGGTTTGGATTGTTAGGATGGGTTCCACTTTCCTTGAAAGTAAGTTTGCATATATGAGTATGTGATACCAGACTGGCTATAGATATCTAACTATTTGCTACTCCATTTCATAATATGTTAAAATAGGTAGGGTCAATCCTGTTTTTAAATTATTCCATTCTTTGGAAGAATATCAGGTCCAGGACAAGTGGCTTGTTATTTTCCAGTAAGAGATACATTTGGTTTGTGGAATAATTTCACAAAACTAAAATTCTCTTTCAACTGAGCAAATGTGCTCAAGCAACCCTTCAACAACCCACTCTGGATTAAATTACTTGCAGAGGATGCCACATTGTGTCATGGCTAGTTGTATCACACAGGGATTGTGTGAGAATTGGCCCTCAATTAACTCAAAGCATGGTATGAGTTATTTGAGTGTTGTCTAACCCTCAAACAACCCTTGCCACAGCCCTTGTTAAAGTATTACAGTTATGAGTAAAATAAATCACATCTGCTTAGTTTTCTATGTCCAAATTCCAAATAATTTATTGACAAACAAAACCATACTGAACCATGAAAAAACAAACAAACCAAAAAGCAATCTAAGGATCGGGAATTGTTGAGTTCCTGGTGGTCCTGGATTCCAGCCTTCTATCAACTTAAATTTTGCTTTGAAAAACAAGCATTCAAAATAAGGAAACATTCAAGAACAAAGGCAGGAGAAGTCAAGGAGAGGACAAGGTAGCAGGCAGAAGTTAAAGCACAATTAGGTGGGCAGATACATTGGATCAGGCAAAAGTAGGAGCAATCAAGACAGTAAGCAAAAGTAAAAACACAGTCAGGCAGGAGTCCAAGGAGTAAAGTGTATCAAACACAGAGGAAAGCCCAAGACAGAAGAAACAAGAGCTGAAACAGTAACATTGTTTCCAACACTAGCCAGACTGAAACTGAAGGCTTTTAGCACCAGAGTTGACTGAGCCCTGCTCACCTGATCTCTGACCAGAGATCTAAACAGAGGGATTGCTTTCTCTTGAATAGCCCCCTGCAAGCAACCACTCCTTCTTGAAGGAATCCTTCTGGGGTGATGATGCTCCTGGGAGTTCAAGATTGCTCTTCTTATTTGAGGTTGTTCAGATCTGCCTTAAAACTCTGCTGTTCTGAAATAGTTTTGCCAACAGTTTGGTAAGGCCCATGCACTAGTAGTTTAAAAGCGTAATGCTAAATGCAAGAGCAAATCACATTTCAGATCAGGAAGCACAGCTCAAAGCTTCAGGGTCAACTATGCCCCCATGAGGAGAAGCAGCTCGCCTGTAGCCAAACATGATACAGAAGAGGGATGAAGAAGGAATTATGGCTGTGTGAAGAGAGCTGTTGTCTCTCTCTTC